AACGAGCCACAGGTAGCGGCGAATCCTTTCGATCGACTTTTTGCCACCCTGCCGCGCCTCGGCCAGTTTATTTTTGGAGAGTAAACGAAGTGCCTTCGTCGAAAGCAAGATCGAGCTACCCAATTAACCGGAAAGAATAAAATGTGGAGAGTGGTGGTCGCGCGATCGGACGAGAACAGCACCTTGCTGTCGTCGGAGATCTCTTCCGGGCCGGTTGCACCGAGTCACATCTCCGGTCTACCCGGGCCACCTTCCGGTCATCACTGGGGTTATCCGCCGCCGCCACATCCTTCTTATCAGCCGCAACATCCCGATACGCGCCATCATCACGACATGCGTCCGCCACCGCACGAACTTCGTCATCCAGCGAGCACCGGCGATCTCAGAAATCAGGAAATCAGGAGCCACGAGATGCACAGACTAGATCCAAGGCATCAACCCGAGATGCAGAGACACCAGGAATTGCACAGGCCCGAGATGGCCAGGCATCAGGACTTGATCGGCATGAGGCCGGACATGAGATCGGACATGACCACGGAAATTAGATCTACTCACGAGTTTACCGATCTTAAGATCGAAATCACGGATATAAGGAGCCAAGAGAGTGGACAACAGCAACAACAACAGCAGCAGCAACAACAACAACAGTTACAACCGACGTCGCAGCAAAGTCAAACGCATCAGCAGAGGAATTTGAAAAGGGCCATGAGCGACTCCGATTGCGACGACGTGTTCTCCGAGGAAAGCGGCAAAGAACCGTAAGTAGTAGTCTTACTAAGGATAAACTATACGTACGCGACATAAGGTCAATTACTTAATTAACCGACTCTCGTAACGTTATATTTGATTATACGTTCGAAACGAGCCCATTGATAGATTTACATCCGATAGTTTGTTGCAACGTAAACTTTACCCGGGCAACATATGTCGGACTCTTTCTACAATGACGCGGCAATTAAAATCTTATTGTTCTCTAAAGGGGTTAGCCGAACGGAAAAATAATCATTCGATCCGGGTATCCGTTACCGCGAAACGAACCGTTCCGAGGTCTCCAGCTACGATTCGCGAGTACTCGTCTGTAACCCTTTCCCTTTTTTCGATGTAGGTGTAATTCGCCGGGAGGCGATTCCTGTCAACACACGTCGCGAAAGCGTCGGAGAGGGATGATCGAGAAGAAACGTCGCGACAGAATAAACGCGTCCCTCGGCGAGCTGCGAAGATTGGTACCGGCAGCGGCGAGAGATCCTCACAGCGGAAAATTGGAAAAGGCAGAGATTTTGCAGCTCACGGTCGAGCATCTGCGAACGCTACGAAACAAAGGTGAGTTTCGAACGTTTGATCGTAGATCGCTTCTCGATAGAACACCTGGGAAACTTCTTCTCGAATCCTTCTCTTCTAAGGTTGCACGGACCGAGAAACCGTTCGTTTCCTGTTTCCTCCTTCGAATCGGCCAAATCCGCGCAGGAAAGCAACACCTGTTGCCCGTGGCTCGTCGCGTACCCGTATCATTCGTCCATCTGTCGTTTCGCGCGTACAAATCTTTACTATCGCGTTCTTTTTACCAAGTTTACTAAGTATCCACCATCGCGCTTCGCTCTTAACTTTTAACGCCCGCTTTCTAAATTTAATCGACACGGTTAGAGTAACTCGCGATAACGAGGAATAAACTTTGAGAGCGATTCGGAAAAGATAGATGATCGCGAAACGAGATGTTTGCGGCGAAGCAGGTGCTAGATCCAAAACAGAGATCCTGTGGGAAGCACAGGAAGTCAACGACTCTTCCGAAGTGGTGTTCCCACGATTGGTGGCAAGAGCTAGGTAGTGGTGGGGTGTCCCGCGTGGCACCCTTCGTGAAGGAGGCACCGAGTTGCCCACGGCTGGGGCAGATGTCGAACCCTGTGGGAAACCGACTCCCATTTTCGTATCTACGAGCTCGCGCGCACCGTACACACGCTCCCGTTTCTTTTACTCTCCTCGGTATACATGCATCAAAGTATTAATATACTTTTTCTTTTCTTATTAATACACATGTATTGGCCCGCGTGTTCGTTAGTTCGATACTACCAACGACGCTAACGAGACGAGTGTCCATCTCGCGAGATCATTTCGATTATCCTTTCCGCGAACCGATCAAGTTTTTTCTCGAAAATTTTCTAATAAATCAATATATCGTAACATAAAAAAATGATCATCTCCGTTTGGCACGCGGTCCGATCAGCGTAGTTGCGTACCGATAAAAAAAAATCGATCGAAATTCTAGTATAAATCGAGAAACGTGTCGCTTAATGAAAAATGACTGGACTAGACGAAGATTCGTGAAAGGCGGTGCTTGGAACGAGGAGGGAAACGCGTGTCTCGGTGTAGGGGGGTCTAAACGGTTCCCACGCTACCTGTCCCGTTGCCCTCTGCCGCCGGCTTACGTACAATGAGCCGGCTGTCGAAGCCACCGAGAGCTCGAATCGCTCTCCTTTTCCTCTCCCTGTCCGTAGTTAACGAGAACGAACGAACGATAACGCGATCGGTACGATGAACATTGCAGGACCAGAGGGCTACGACAGTACCAAATTGGCGATGGACTATCACGCGGTTGGCTGGGGAGAATGCGCGGCCGAAGTCGGCCGTTATTTGGTCACGATGGAGGGTTTGGACGAGAGAGATCCTCTGAGGCTACGATTGCTCTCCCATTTGCAAAGTTTTCATCGAGAACATGCCTCGTCAGCGGTTCCAGTGTCCGTCCCACCGACAACCCTGACCACCAGTTCGACGAGCAGTTACGAACCGAGTAGCACCGTGTCCACCGGAATGCCAGCTGGAGCGGGAACCATGCCACCCCTTTTGGGAGGAAGCGCGCTCGGATGGGGACAGTATCCGGGACAGTATCCTCAACAGCAACACGGGAAACCTTACAGGCCTTGGGGTGCTGAACTAGCCTATTGAGGATTTTTCCCCGTCGAGGCTCCGACTCGATTCGTCCAAATTCCATTTTTCGACCGTAGATAATGGTTATCCGTTCGCGACTCTTAAAGAGTTAGCCCGATACTTACCGTAACGACGAACATTTTTCGTCGATTCCGAACAAGCGAGAACGAGTGTATTTTTTTACGCGCGATACATACTACCATAGTCATACGAGTACCTAATACAGAGTGATCGAACAAAGATATTTATTTTCATGCTCGACTCGAAAAACCTAACGAGCGAGTAACATTGTATAGTGTATATAGTTATTGTATATAACGATAAGACGCGACGTGATTTCTATCTTTTGTATTTATCGTATTTTTAGTATCGCACTCAGTCTGATGGTTTGTGATTGAAAAAAAGAAATCGAAGAAAAAATGAATAAAATTAAACGCCAAAAAACGCGGATCGATTGCGTGATACAAGTGCCATTAAACGTATCGAGATATACGTAGGAAAAAACGAACGCTCAAATGCTTTTGCAATAAAACTAATAAAGACGCAAACGAACAATGGTGTACTCGTTAAATCCCCGTAATATCTTTCTATCGTTAAATTTAAGCGGTTAGTTAAATTCGTTCGTAACGACTACGACGAACTCCTTCCCTTCCCGATCTCCTCTGTTTGTCCGAAGCGTAAAACAAGATCCGTCGGATATTTTCGAGTTCCGAGCAACGCGTCCGACGCGAACCATTCTTATGCAAAAGTTTCGCATTGCAGCTTGCCAAGATGAACCGTCCATCGTTACCGCGAAGAACAAAACCGAATATACCGGTCTCCCTTTCGCATTGTGCGAACCAGTTTTGCGACTCGTTAACCTCTCGTGAAAAAAGAACGCTTTCGCAATTATGGACAAATATCGCAACACTCGCGGTGGGAACAATTAGCAAGCGTAAGTTTTTTACGGATATTCAGAAAACCACGGGGAGCAAAACTAATTCTTGAAAAAAGAAGGAACGCGATGGTCGCCACGTGGCCATTGTGTACGCTTAATTCCCTTCTCGAACCCCAACTTTGTTCGCGATAATTGTGCGAACGCGTGTTCTCTGTTTTATTAAAACTTCGCCTACAAAAATATACCTAATATATTTTGTTCGATTGTTTTTTATGCTTATTATAAATCGTAGCTATCTTTCGTAACTTCTATAGTCATCGTTACCGACGAAACAACCGATAATCTTCCTCTGCTCCGCAATGAACACCGATTGTAACTCAGGCGAGCATCGCTACGGTGCGACGGGTAAGTCCACGAGGAACTGTCAATATAACCAGATTCTATTGTACTGTCCAATAGAATCGATGTACCGTTATCCGTATATGCTAGAACATTTGAACGATAACAAATTTTTCGTAAAAAATCCGCAAAATTTCCTTTTGCACCTAATATAGGTCATCGAGGTGTTAAAGGTCAATTAATGGACGCGTAAACTCGTACAGTAGTAAATGTTTAACGGTAAAAGCAAAAAAACTGTCCGAATCAAACGAAATATGTAGCTCGTATAACGTTGCGCGGTTTCGATATACGCTACCATTTCGGTATACGCTATAAGCTTCCCCGATCGATCGCGAACGGTGGAGCTACTTTAAAGTACGCCATTATCTTCGGCGCGATAATCTTATTGCAAACGAACCAAAGGATTATGGGAACGCGGTGAAGAATTATCGATAGAACCATTTTATTCGGGAGTTTATCATCCGTTAAAAAGTCACAGCCTCGTCGGACATGATTACGTTAAAATATCGAGACGCATCGATATACATTTACGTACGCGTTACCGTATATACATTCGCAAACTTATGTACACGTATGTTTTACAACTGTGAATCGTGGTCGTCGAGGTACTCCGCGTTTACGCGCGAACTTACAAGTACGAGAAAAACGAGTAAACAAAAATATTGTGCCGTAAAAGAGATCCATAAATTCCGATTCTACTCCGCTTGCGTAATCCTTCTTAGTTTTACGACAATGATCGCTATTCTAACACATATTGCATAATATTAGGTACATTGATCTTACGTTTAAAAAGATCGCTGCGAATACAACTTATTTACAAATTATTTTATAGATTATCTCTCGTGCGCTGTCGCTAACAAAAATACATACATACGTACATAGATATTTTTACGAATCGTTACAAACTATCTCTACGTAAATGAGATCGAAATAAATACTTGCGATAAGACTAGGTAGCTTAAATTTACGAACGACCGCGATATCGTCTTCCGGAAGATCGATAGAAAAAGAAACGTTAAATCTTTTTCGATGTTCAAGCGAGTATTTCGAGTTGCAAAAGTGAGAATCCTCGATGTTAACTTTATATACGTTTGTTCGAGCGAAATATTTTACGATTGAAACTGGACGTCCTATTGCTCCATACGCGTTCGTTTGGTAAACGTTTTAAGCGTCTCGTTATCGATTAAAGGGAAAAATAACACGGTAGGATGATTTTTTCGTTAAAATACGGTTCAAAAAATAATCGAATCGCCCAACGTTATTCCAAACACCCGACAACTTTTCTCGCGGTGTCCATACTCCAGTTTGCACTCTTCAACCTTGAAAAATCTCTCGATTTCCAAACAAAATATATATATATGTATATATATCCAAATTGTACTCGTTCGCTCGTCTACCCTGTAAAATAGTCGAAGTACTTTCACGAAATATGGACCGCCTTATCGAAAGTTTTCCTTCGGAATATTATCCTTCGGAAACGACGACAGAAACGAACGAAAAAATGTCGATTAATCGTAACGACGCGATCGTTAAATCATCATTTCGTTTTCCGTGTTCTCGTTCCTCTGATTTTCCTCGTATTCGTCGCAATAGCAGCATATGGACATGCAGTCCGAATCCGAGTTTTCGCCTACGTAGGTCGTGTACGTGTCGATACTTTTCGTATCGAGGGACGGCAAAGACCAAGAGAGAGAAGCTGTTTCGAGGTCCGGTATGGCCGAGTGCCAAGAGGTCAAGTTGCGTGACTTTTTCGCCTTGCGGCTCCGAGTCGACAGTTTCTTGATGGCCTGGAAATCGAACAAACAGTCGAATCTATTAGTCCTCCCTTCGAATATACGATCAACTTCGATCTTTTCTATCGATTCGATCGCCTTTATTCTTCGTCGCTTCTTCGCATCCTTCCCATAATTTAAAAGCGTGATTGCCTTGTCAAAAATTGATCAAGATCAAAGGAAACGCGTCTATCTTGCACAGAGCGTACGATTAGAATGATAAACGACGAACGCGACAAGCAACGAATCGAGAAGAGGATGAAATTGAAACGGTGACGAAAAAATATATTATTCGAAAATCCGTGTAAAGATTAATATAAAAACGATCGAATTTTCGTTAATTTCAGGTAAGCATTCCATCAGCGGTGCACGCGTTTTAAAGCGGAAAACATTAAACATTCAGAGGTAACTATAGTAATGGAAGTTTTAATAACGAAACGTATGTTCATAAGAATCGAGCGTAGTTGATCAATGTAACGCGAGGTCGTACCGACAAAAATCACGTACAACTATCGTTACTTTATTCGACAGAAACGTATCGTGCCATGAAAATTTCTTCTTTCGCAATCGTACACGTATTGTTTTCATTCAACGGGTCGTTAAATTTTCGTTTATCGCGATAAAATGTCATAATCGAAAGTGGGACGTTTCCGCGATAAACATCGATTACATCGAGGAAATCGTGCGAAAATGAAAATATACCGAGAACGGCTGGCGGCCAGGTTAGCAATGCGATACGCGAGGTTAAGAAATTAGGTCGCGCGATGCGCCAGAAACGTGCGTGCATGCAACAGCCGATGAGGATAATCGTCAACGTCTTACCCTAAGGAGTCTGCGACCGGATTTGCTCAATAATTTCCTCAACATATCGAGCAGAGGATCCCCCGATCGAATCGAAGCTTCCTTTCGATTGCCGTAAGAGATTGAGCGCAACGCGAAATTGATTTTTCAGTGGCACGAACCGTTACCGTGCCAATAATTCCGATCCATGTGAACGCCTTGGCGTCACGCGACCAAATACCGCTCCAACACGCCGCGTCGTTCTATTTATCACCTACGACCCTTCCTACCCCCACTACTACGTCCGACGCGACGCGGCTCGACGCAACGTCTAATTCTACTACTTCCGAGTTCCGAGTTCCGAGTAAGTACGAGAGAGCTCGTACTTTCTTCCTACTACTAACGACTCGTTCGCCACTCCTACTATCTTATATCGTTCTCTAAACATATTCCCTGACCGTGTAAACGTTATACTCAATTTTACCGTAGATTTTATGGAAGCGCCAGCGACGCACCCACACGGTAATTATCGATTTATTAACTCTTTTGCATCCATGGAAGAGATATTTTGCCGATTGTTTATTATCTCGTTACCGAAGAAAATTTTCGTTCGTAGGAGGTCGCTTGTCGTACGCGTCAAAAGAGTCGATCTTAATCGTTGCGAGAACACTTTCCGTCGTTTTCCCCGATTCGCGGTGAATCCGTTAAAGTCGCTACTTCGCGAACTCGTAACGAAACAACGTTTCGCGAATCGCCGCGACAACGAAGAATCGTATTCGAGTCGAAAGAAAAAATTTTTAGACGGGATCGGATTAAAAACGCTGAATGAAAAATCGGAGCGTGTTGGACGCGTGTCCGTGGCTGTGGCGAGCATGCGCGTGTACTCGCGCGCACAGGCTAGGCAAACCGCGTAGTACGCACGTGCGAGACGTAACGCGTGTGAGCGAACTTGTTCTCACGCGACGGCACGCGGCCACAGTCTCTCCCCGATGCACTTCGCCACGTGCCACCCCGATATGCCTACGGAAAACTCATAATTGTCATAACATTCGAGCTGTGCGCTCACCCCGGGAAACACCAATACCCGCTACTCGATCTGTCAGAGCACTTCTCTCTTTTTCGTTAAGCCGATGCGTCCACCCTGATTAATCCTTTCTTCCTTCCTTCCTTCTTTCTTTCTCTTTATTCTTTTGTCCAAACGCCTACGACACCTAATCCCTCGATATTCTCGATTGTTTTACGATCGGCTTTGAGTTTCGACCAAGATCTCCGCATAAAAAAGTTTCAACAAACTGTGCACTATTTGTTATTGTAAGTACGATGTACAATTTATTTTCATAATAATAAAGGAAACTAAAAATTACGTATACTCGATTGTCCACTCGAAGCTGGATAGGCAAACAACATCGAGACATTAGGATACCTGACAAAGGTTAAACGGGTTAAACCGTTCTGAAGTGTTTTCGCACAAACGACGTCAGCAACTCTATCGTCCAACGGTTGAACCAATGACGTCAGCGGGAACACCTGTATTTCTCGTATGCATGTTCGTAAACTAGGACAGTATCCGAAATCGCTCACTCGTTCACGTACTTACTATATATGTATATGTACGCATACGAGCATGCGTCGTACGCGAATCTGTCTTATGTTTCGTTTGGTTACGACTGTCGAATAACAAATAACAATAATTTTGTTGAAAAACACGACGCATCGCGTACGCTTTAGGCAACCTCGCTCGTATTACTTTTCAGTGTTCGAATAGACACGGAGAAACGGGTAAAGCAGCCGAAAAAACATGTTGACGACGCTTAACTACCGCTCGTTCTCTTTGTGTAAAAAGCGCAAAGAGACGCGTTTCGTTAGAACACGAAGCTGTGCTTCTCGATAGAAAACTTTCTATTAAAATTTGTCTATCGAGGAACAAGGATTCGGTAGTGGTACTTCTGTAGGTATACACGTTTCGCGAAAGAATATCTAATACTTTTGATTAAATAAAGAGCAAGCTAATGATTTATAGAGGGAAACAATCGGCGAGAGCGATGGAATAACGAGCGACGCGTGCCGCGTCACGTGCCTCTGAAACGTTCGCTCAAACATTATATACGAGGTGGTGCGCGCAAAACTAAGTCTCGCCTAATTGCGACGCCAGTTCCATTAGAGATTAAACTTCAAAAGAAGACTTGGACAGATTCGTGCGTGCGGTTAATTGAAACGACTCGATGAACCGTGTAACCCGCACACCGTCTCGATATCCCCGCAGTTTCATCGAGAACAAAACGGGACTTTTCGAAATCTCGTCGTTTCTAAACTTTGCGAAGGAGGAAAATCACGAACGACGTTTTAACGATACGTTACGTTTTTGTTTGTTTCGAAAAACGCGTAAAGATACGCGAGCATCGAACCAAACGTCGACAAGGGAGGAATACGACGAACTTGTTTGTACGCTCGACGAGGGTCAGATGTCACGGTAATGTGGTTGTTTGACCAACGCTGTTGTATTACGTAGATTCGAAGTCATCCTTCTTAATCTCGAACCATTCTTTTCACCGTCACGTATTGCAAAAGTAACGTTATGTCGATCGACCGTTCGATTTCTAGCAAATATTTATAAAACCGTCATCGCGATCACCGTCACGCGTCCAATCGCTTTCTGACGATTATAGAAACGACCAACTGCTGAGATCGAATGTTGCAATAAAGGAGATACGAAACATAAAGTGTATGTCCACCAAAAACTATACACGAATTGCTCGAACGTTTAGAAATGTTCTCATTAAATGCGCATCGCTACCTCTAACTGTTACCAGCATGGATTAAATGAAATCGACTCGTAGGTGAATACGAAGATTTTGTGGCGCGAACAGGCGCGCACGAAAAAAGGGAAGCAGAGTTAATCCTTTAGAGTTTGAAGCACAGAACCGCGTGGGAAACGTCTCGATACAAACCTCGCACGCAGGATTTATACGGCAAACCTAAACTGCCCGAATAACCAAATGTTCATCCCTCGTCTCTCTTTTTATTTTGACGATACAATCATTTTTTCTCGCATTCATTTGATATTTGCATGCAAGAGAAAGACGTAAAATGTAGATAAATGCAAATATATTTTAATCGCTGCAAAATATACATGTACAAAAAATAAAGATACAATACTTTTTTATACTTTTATATAAAAATACTTTCTACGCGTGTTTATTCGAGAGATTCGTGTATTCGATATAAAAAAATACAAGGTAACGATATTTAACGAAATGTATTGAAAAAAACGAGTGCTTCACGAACCGAGAATCGGTTTATATAACATTCTTGGATCGTAAGGTATATTTCTTTTGTTACCTGGCAGTAACATCGGCACCATTTTCGCGCGAAGTTCGTACGGAAAGAAATCGTGACAGAAATTATAAAAGTCATTGCGCGTTCGAACGATACCCAGGCGCGCCATTTCTTTCATTAACGCGTACAACTCGCCCTCGTAATTCCGATACGACTTTTGTTTAGCGATAGAGGTTGTTACTGTCGATACGCGACGTATAAACTTTTCGGAAATTACTCTAGTTTCAAATTTATATTTAGGTTCCAGGAGTTTCCATAAATAATTGTACAAACGATCCGTAACCCATGCTTTAGGACGAGGAAGTCGAGGCACCTTATACACTTGACCATTCACCAAGTAGGCTTTGTGTACTTGTTCGGGAACAATTGGCTTCTTCTTTAATTTCGGCATAAGCTTCCTTCTTTCGTTTATATTCGCTTTTACCGTAGACGACGGCTGTGTTCTCTGTTGCTGTACGTTCGCGTTCATGCAATTCATTTCTTGTTGCTTCACCTTGTTCAGTTCCATTTGAATTTTTTTAGTCTTCTTTTTCTCCGTAGCCGTCAGCTTCGCAGGTTCATCCAAATTGAAAAATGACCGTATGCTCGTCTGTCTCTTCGGCTTACGGGCGGATGGAAAGAATGATTCGAATAATTCTTGAAACGTGCTTCTATTATTATCCACACGTTGCAATCGGTTTGAAGTTTCTTCGTTAGCGGAATCGTCTGAGATCCCGTCTTCTGCCTCTCTAGCGTTTATGTCGCCTACGTTTGAAGTACTTTCGTTGCCTGTTTTTCTATTAAACGCAGACAAAACATTAACGTTACTCTTTTTCGGAGATATATTCCCTTGCTTCTTAGAGACATTTTCTGACTTATTTGCTACTTCATCTTCCGTTTCCATTAAATTTTTACCATCCATGTTTGGATTATTCGAATTTACGTCCGCAACGATTTCCGTCGACGCTGGATTGCTCGCTCTAGACGATATTCTACCATGATGATTCTCTATATCGCTACGTCCGTTTCTATTAAAATTGGATGAGACGCCGGTAGCAGACCTCTTGGATGAACGTTGTACGCTATTTACAATTGATTCTTCGTCTTGTACTTCCCTTTCGCTCTTATCATTGACGTTCAAGCTATTTGCGTCTGTGTTTTCAAAACTTTTCGCGGATGAAATTAGATTACTAGTTCTAAATAACGACCTACTACGATTTTCTCCAGTACCGCGTTTGCGCCTACTATTGTTATACGACGCGTTTGCAGCAGGGCTCTGTGATATATTCTTATTTTCTTTATCGGAGTATTGTAATTTGTCTGAAATTGCTTTCTGACCGATACCAATTAATTCTTTCTTCTTCGTTTCTCTTTCATCTTTATTTTCAACGCTTGGAAACATTATATTCATTCGTGTAAGTTTCACCAATGGCACTAAATTACTAGTTCCAAGCGACACCCTAATACGATTCTCTGTGCGCTCGCATTCCTTCCCATCAAAACTCAATTTCCTTTGAGATAAACGTGGTTCATTACGTACAAGTTCTTCATCGCTAGAATCGCTCAAACCATTGTCTATGTTTTCTAAGTTCTTCTCACCGACTTCCATAGTGTTCGTTATTTTCTCGCTTCTTTTTTCTGTAAACGATGATTCGCTACGATTTTCTGTATGATCGCGTTCTTTTCCATCGGCATTAAGTGTAACATTCACAGCAGATTTTTGAGATAAACGTTGTATTCTATTAATTAGTTCTTCGTCGCTAGAATCGCTCAAACCTTTGTCCTCTACGTTTTTTAAATTCTTCTCACCGACTTCCATAGTGTTCGTTATTTTCTCGCTTCTTTTTTCTGTAAACGATGATTCGCTACGATTTTCTGTATGATCGCGTTCTTTTCCATCGGCATTAAGTGTAACATTCGCAGCAGATTTTTTAGATAAACGTTGTATTCTATTAATTAGTTCTTCGTCGGAATCGCTCGTAACTTCGTCTTGTACTTCCCTTACATTTTTATCGTCGACGTTCGCGCTATTTGTGTGCGTGTCTCCAATCGTTTGGAACGACGCTAAAGTACTAGCTCTGGTTCTGGATGATACTCTATTGCGATATCCTATCTCGCTAGAACTGGATGAAACATTAGCGACGGATCTTCTATGAGACAAACGTGGTACTTTACTTATAAGTTCTTCGTTGTTAGAATCGCTAGTATCATCGTTTCTTACATCCTTTGCCGTCTTATCATCGACGTTCAAAGTGTTTCTATCTGTACTGTCAATTTTTCTCGTAAATGACGTTGAATTACTAGCTCTAGACGACAATCTATTACGAGACGATACGTTAACAGATTTTCTGTGAACCGAGTTTGTCTTTTTATCGACATATTGCAACTGATTTAGGGTTTTTTCGTTGCTAATGTCACTTAAACTTTCATCTCTTACATTTTTAGTTTTATTTTTCGAAGTATTTACACTCGTAAATAACGATGACTTTGATTTACTAGTTTTAGACGATGATCTACCATGATTCATTTTACTATCGTGTTCTTTCCTATTAAAGCTGGATGTAACGTCAACAACAGATCTTCTCAGAGATATATTGTCATGCTTTCTATTGGTATTCTGTAATTCATTTGAAACTTCTTTATCGTTAGAACCCTCTGAAGCACTTTCGTCAACTCCAGTTACATTTAAAGTTTTTTCATCATTTTTATCGTTAATACTATCTTGATTCTGTATAGATTTTTGTAGAGCATTTTTTCGTTTCATAGAACTACCTTGCCTAATTAAACGTTCTTTTCGAGCACTTGCATCCACATCTGTTAACTTTCTTAAATTATGTCCTTTTTGTGTTAATAAAGCGTCCGAATTGTCGTTCGTTGTAGCGATATTCTCACTTAAGCGATCCTTGATAGATTCTTTAATGTTCTCTACACTTAAAATAGCAGGTTTTCTTTTCTTCTTTGAACGTGGTGTTATAACTTTTTCTGTATCATTGTTTTCATCTTCGTTTACAACGTTCTTTTGTAATTTGCGAAAACTTTTAGATAAATCATTTGACGAAAATATTGAGGATTGCTTAGCAATCTCGGCACTTTCCGCGCTTGTTAATTTACTTGTTTCTGCTTGTATATCGCTTTCTTCGGCTGCAAATATATCCTCGAAAACATTTCTTTTTGTACTCCTAGTACGACGTTTCAACAATTTCGGTTTTTCACTATTTTCTGCAATACTTTCTAAATTGCCTGTTTTTGTTCTTTTATCGGTTTCTTCGTTCACAGAAGTACTCTCAGAAACATTTTTTCTTATACTTTTAGTAGGGTGTCTTAGCAATTTAGGTTTAGGTTTCACTATTTCGTATTCCGCATCGCTGGTGCTACTCTTAGTACTGTTGTGTGAACTACTATCCTCAACCGTGGTACTCTGTGCTTTTGGTGCTGGAAGATGAGAAAGATCATGCACACCATTAAGAAATGATGCAAAATCTGATGACTCTGACTGATTATCGGGACTTATCATGTTGCTAGAATTTTTTTGATCCGTCTTCTGAGATCCATTAATGGAAGCTCCCCTTTGTGGAGAAGCTATGAAATCTTTATCTTGCAATGCATCGACGAAGACGCTTCTACGTTGATTCTTATAATTTTTCTTAAAAATTTTAGGCTTTGATTTTATTATATTATTTAAATTTGAGCTTTGATTTGACCTACTATCTTTTGTATTTGTTAACTGTTCTTTGTTGATAACCATTTTATTACTCGAGTCTGAACTAGTCAAATTTTTTTCATCTCTAGTATCTGGTATTGATATCTTTTTGGATGAATCCTCAAAATCATTCAAAATATTAAAGAAAGCATTGTTTTGATGAGTTTTTGCTTTCGAACGTAAAGGAAGTTTTCTTTTCTTCACCTGCAGTTCTTCTTCTGACTCTGATGTTACTACCCTAAATTTAGATGCACCTAATAAAATTAAAACTTATTATAGAATGATTTAATAAACTTAATTTCAAGAACTAACAACTCACCCTTTTCTATGCGATTCTCGCTATCTATTGAAGAACTGGAAGGATCCAACCCTTTCCACCATTCATTAACTATTTTACTTGTTTCTATTCTTGAACTAGAATCCAAATGTCGACTTGTTTCATTTAACATACTATAATTAATGGATGGTCGTACCATTGTATTGTTTTCCAAATCTTTCCACCAACATGGGTATTCTGAAATATAAACAACAGAGAACATAACCTATTTCAATCAAACCATTTAATTTACTAAAAATTATAAAATATATACCATTATCTATTACATCCGTATCAGGATCTAAAATACCAGAACCAGTATATCTGCTGCTTCTGGAAGAACGTCTATTTAAAATTTTTCGTTTAGCCATAGTCTTCGACAAGCAGCGCAAAAATGAAATACGTTCCTTTAATTTTTCATAAAACTTTATCACGTCGCAGTATTTTAATAAAAACCTATAATTACGCTCTAGATTCAAATTTTATTCCAACGTTAATATAACATTTATCATCACACTGTTACAATATTGCATATTTATTACATGTTTCCTACTCAATAATTGGGACAATTTTCATAGCGCGTACAAAAGCGCGCGAAATATCCAACCTATGTAACTCCACTGACACGACTTTATTAGATAAAAATAAAACACATCAAGTGTTCATTTTGCGCAAAAAAATGAACAGTATGTTACTGTAAAATAATTTGTCTAAATATAATTATCTATTTTTGCTATTTTTCTATTTTTCCTCATACTGTATATAACCGCAAAAGTAGAAACAAGACGTATAAGGAAATATTAATAATACGAATTCGTTGTCCCGTAAAGTACGATTTTATTCATCATGTTTTATACGTTGTATTGAAATGTGTTACTTTTTTCATATTTTCCTCTATACAAAATATTTTCAAACCACACTTATACATTACTAAATATATATAAAACAGTAATATAACGCAATCTCTGTGCATAACGCATATAATAAACATAAAAAATTATATACAGTACTTCGAATACTTCTCCCTTTGGAAGAATAAAGTTTATCTACAGTTAATGTTGTGGGACAATTGTACAATGGTGCATGTTTTAAAATGATATTAAAATAAAAAATGTCGTCAAAATACTAATATTATTATACTAGATGTTTGATTAGCCTTGAATAAGTTCCTTTTAAATACATATTTATTTTGCTTTCGCGGATGAACGAGATCTAAGGTGTTTTTTGGTCGCTTGATCGACCTCTGGCAAATCATCGTCTTCGGATACAGCCGATTTTTTTCCTAAATAAAAAGAAATTTCATATTTGAAATGGAAATATTTAATATAAATAAATATTACAAGAATTCTGCATTTCTCTTACCTTCTTTCTTCTTTGACTTCAGCTTTGACTTCACTGTTGTTTGTACTGGGACCACGTTTTCACGTGCACGTTTAATCTGCCTCTTAATAAATACATAAGCTAGGTAAGTTTGGAACATGACAATAATACCTAAGGATGAAAATCGCACAGCCGGAATATTAAAGTTCCCAGTAGCCACATCGAATGAGCTTTCGACTTGACTTAAGCCATATAAAAACACTAAACTTGCAATAGCCAGTGTTGCAACGTGTACAAAAACATACGATGAATTGGCAATGAAGAAAGCCACTGTAACAGATTATATAATTATAATATCTATTTTTTCATAAAGTATCACGTATAATTAAACAGTACTTACTTTTTGTCATCTTTTCTTTTTTACCAACAAAATGAACTAGTCTAGCTCCATGAAGCATAGCATCTCCTACATAATGAAGGACCAATAATAGGATTCCAACTTGCTGAAAGCTACACAAAATATGTAAATTAAATTTAAAAAATTAATTTTCCAATGCATTGTACTCTTAAAAAATATTTTTATACTTTAAAACATAGGCTGCAAGAGTGAATAATATTCCAATAGTTGCTTGTACAACACGAGGGGGAATATCTTCTTTCTTTATCTTTTGGAAGTATAATTCAGGATAACAATGTAACCAGTACGAGAGTTGTCCTATAAAGAATAGTTTCGAGGAGAAAGACATTGGCACAGGATATTGTTGCCATAATGATGTTATATTTAATAACAGATCTTCCCTAAAATGATGCAAAATAATATTATATATGACTATACCTAGAGACTTCTATATTTATTACTTAGTTGTTTACCTGATAATTATATCAATGCCCCATATAGCGGACAAAAGATAAAACAGGACAAGTTGGCTAGATTCATTAAATTTAGCAAGTTTTACTTTACTCAGATGTAAACGTTTTGAAACTTTCTGAAAGATATTACAAAAAACATTGTAGTAAAAATACATGTTCTTGGTTGCAAGACAAATTATAGTGAATATAACTTACATCAAAAATATATTCCTGAAATACAGCATGCATCACAATAGTTATCAAAAAATAAAAAAATACGGCACAAGCATCTTTCCAACCAGTAGTATACTTTAGTGGTGCACTTGGATCTTCTGTATCAGATGTTATATTATGATGAACAGCAATAAATGTATATGCCCATGGTGATGTTGCCTAAAATTAATTTGTAATAAGTAACAGAATATTAACTGTTTTGCTTAAGCTAAGTAACTACGTTTATTACTGATCAACGGATGCCGGTGATAACATATGGTCATTATATTAACAGTTCAAGTTAAAGCAATAGACAAAATGCTAATTGTTCGTTAGTTTATTTTGAATAATCGTGTTAAATGACAAATATCATCAAAGAGTAAAAGAATTAATACATAAATTACAAATATCATTAATATTTAGATGGGTTACTGACCTGCACCATCAAACCCGTTACGAAGATCATCGCCACGCAAGAAACGATATCTCCATGATTTTGAATAACAAACTCATGACTGAATATAGGAGGATTTTTACTTGAACTTTTTCGACCTTTTACTGCAACCATTTTCCGTTAGAAAGATATTTTCTCTCACACAAGTAACAATCTCCTTCCGCTATGTTTCTTACTTGAATGGCTAACAACGACTACCGTCAAACAGTCAAATGTACACGAAATTACACCGACGTGTTACACATCCCGACGGCGGCGCACTACTCGCACGAAACCATAGAGTTGCGTGCTGCGTGTAACCAATATCCAACAATGTGGCGCTTACTGCTTTTACTTGTTGGCACCAAGTGAGTCAAAACAATGTCGCAAATTCCTCAAAATTATCGATAGTTATATGTTTTTTAAACTTTTCCAATGTAAATTTAAAAAATAATTTTTTTTCTAACTTCACAATGATTATTTAGTTGGTTAAAATTTCAGATTTTATCATACAAATACTCAGTTGTTTCGAAGTGCGACAGAATCGCGGTACATAATTGTAGTAAGTACATATGTAAGATCTTTTCTGAAACGAATTTATTCCATTTGGGATATTAAAGCCGATCATAAATGGAGTAGTATTAAAATACTCGTGCAATAACTTTATAAGATATATTTTATTGATAATATTAGGTACATTTTAAGTGGTCACGACATTTTTATACATACACAATATATGTATCTGTTTTTTAAAATGTGCTATTACCACGTGTAACTGGCGATATTCTGAATTTTCGTTAAATAAACCATAGTAATATAGCGAAAATACATATTCAATATTTCGATGTCGAAAGAAAATAATTTTTGATCACTATACATCGCGTACCACAGATACACGGTAAATTCATTGATCAACAATGATTCGAAAATATATCTCTTCTGTAATCGTAAAAATAATATAATTTTTCAACGTTATATTTTTATTACATTAATAAGCGTTAGAGGTACGAATATCAACGCTCGTGGATTTGTACATTGTGTTTGTATCAGCGCGCAATTAGCAATGGGGCGGGTACGTGGATTCATTCTTTCTTTCTATGTATTTGAGTGAACACATACGATATATGATCAAATTTGAAATTTGCACATAAATTTTTATAAAATACATTATGCACACAATAAATTTCTATTTATGTGTAGAGGCGGATCTATGCATGGATTAAGCGATAATCATTATGTTACTTGTAACTTCGTTATTGCTTCTTATAATATTGTGACTCTTAACAGTTTCATAAAGTACGATAACATTTAATGCTCTATTAAATCACTATCCACCCCCACTTTAATAAATGAACCGGTTTAAGTACCATTTAAATCCTACTCTCGTGATTAGGCCTCATAAATGTATATTTTTAACAGTCATACATGACGTACGAAGGCGATGCAAGTCCTTCGTAATTTTCAAATTGTTTCGATGATATCTTTAAAAAACAATTAATTTCCATGTTTAATCATCTGTTTTTAACAATATTATGAGTTCCATTCGTATGCTTATTAACAACATCTATTGTCACAGCATCTTTCTAAACCATTTGCATTGCTAGTAACAGTTTTAAATAAGCAGCCTGTGCAAATGTCTGTTCTTTAATTTAAATACGTACGTATCTTCGTTATTAACCTATTTTAGGACTCAATGACTCAAAGTACAGTATCGTACTTTTCATGCAATATCGTAGTCTATTACAAGAGTTGTTCTGTAATTTAAATAAATATTTCATCGATCAACAGATGTATCAATGAAATTATTATACGTATATGTTTCATAAACTAGAAAAATGATGATAGAGTCTTTCCTAAAGAGTCTTTCAATTTCTATAAATGTTACGTAAATCGAACGTGTGTACTCAGTCCTTTGTTAAAAATATTTTCCATGTATACGTTTGAAATCGGATAATTTTTATTTAACGTTATCTTTGACGAAGAATTCACTAATCGAATTCACAAACATGAATTTAGTTCATGAAGGATTTCTTTACGTTAGAATGAGTTACTTGATTCTAAAATTGGATAGGTATCGTAAACTTACGCTCGAGGAAATAATCGTGAGCTTAGTTTAGTAACTTGATCACTCGATGGGATAAATATATGCGAATACACGAGTATAATAATAACACGAATTAAATCTAAATATTCTTGTGGTCACAAGCCTTAAATCTTAGCAAAATCTTTTAACGTTACATGCAACTAGCACGACTTAGGTATTTTCTTTGTCCTAAGTATCGTTTTGTCGTTGCAAATTATGTTTTGAGGTAGACAAGTATATTCTTCGAATAGCTTTTCATAGCTATGGGTAAAGCTAAACCAAATAGTAAGTTTTCATTAAAGAAAAATGCCACATTATGTTTAATTTTACATCTTAGTAGACCACGAATATAACCTAGTATATTTATTCGCAAAGTAGTAAAGTAGCCATGAAAGCTGTAGTTTAATTTATAAACCATGTTACAACTGAATTTTAGCAATGGACCAATTAATGTCCTCTAAAAGCATTGTCGTTCTAACGAATTTCACTGAAAGCTACATAAAAAATTAGGTATTAAAGATGTCATGCACTTGCAAAATTTGTATAATTGCGATGCAATTATTTTAATACGTATCAACTTTCTAAGTTGATAAGAGCGAACGGTCGTAAAATCTAAAACTGGAAGTTATCGGATTTAAAGTGTTATGTCAAAAGATTTCTTTTATAGCATTTTTTCTTCATCCTCGTTATCACCGCGTTCACATATGCTTTTCCTATCTTTAATGCTCCTTCGGTTTAATACAGCATTTCCATGCTATGCATTTCCATGTATATTGAATTAATACTTATGTCTTTGTTTTTGCTATTTTCAAAACTTATACATATATATGTACATGTATATGAATTGCAATAAATGTTTAACACTGATCGTTATAACAATATAATCTTTCATTGTTATTAATAAAAATGCGGTGTAGATGTCGTACTAACACATTTTACTTTCTTATATTACTATGTAGATATAGCTTACCTCCACGATATTCAGGTACTGTTTTTGTACCTCCTCACATATCAATTTAAACTGTGTTCAAAATATACGAATTTTATCTATCCGAAACAAAATGTTAATCTATATTCTCGATCATGGCAACAATATGTGATAATTTGCTATTTATTTAATTTGTTCACATTTAAAATTTTTAGTATGCGTTTCGTTACTAAACAATTAAATATACAGATGAGAAGTATACGTATACATTGCGATTTCATACAAATCGCTTAAAATACTTCGCGTATATTAAATTCCGCAGAATATAATATTCTACGATTTATGCGTCTAAAATTTGATCATACTTTTCATAAATAACAACGGAACATGATCATAATGCCATACAATACTGTTCAACGAAATCTACAATTTTTACAGTTAACTGCGTACATCTTATGGAACATTACCTTTTACCACGTATCATAACATGTAATTGTTAGCTTAAACGAGAGGTGGATCATTTTCAAGGTCCATTTCTTCGACAGTTATATACAGTCCTTCTTCTTCGTACGTGGACTCGTGCTTCGCTAAGACCTTGAGTAATGGTCGCAGTTTCATCCACCATTGATATGTTGGAATGCGATGTCTATAAATTGTACGGATTATTTTAAATTGAAAGAAATACCAATGTAACTTTTCCCAATGAATGAATTCGTAATTTATATTATATCGTATTACTTACTCAAAATCGGTAACTTCAATAAGTTCCGTAAACGGTGTAAATCTGTATTGTCTTCGGACTATACCAATCATAACTGCAGTATCAGCTTCCATCGTTGACGTTTTTCCATCAGCAGTTGCACATTTCTTTAGTTGATTGCTAAACCATTCTACAGCTTTAGAACCCATTTTTGTACCAAGGTTACGATCAAATGGAGTCGGTGAACCACCTTGTTGCATATGACCTACAATAAATTTTATCGTTTGTTAATAATTCTTGCACAAAAATGCAACAAAACGAAATCAAATAAGCTGAATTAATTATTATAATTGCGTACCAATAATATTCATCCTACAGCTAAACAGGCCTTTTCCTTCTTCACTAAAAAGTCTCTGCATGAAATCTGTATTATAATTCAAATTAGCATTTTCATTCCTCAGGATAAGACCTCTTTGTACACCTTCAGACATCTTCGCAGCCATCGCAATGACATCCTGATTTATGTCTTTGATGTTAAATTTTTCTTCAAAAATGTATGCCGCATCCGCACCTCCAGCTAATCCAGCAACAGTTGCTAAATATCCACAGAATCCTCCCATGGTTTCGATAATAAATACTCGACGTTTTGTACCCTGTGCTGACTGACGAATTCGATCGCAAATCTAAAAATAATTCATAAATATACATGAATGAGTCATCATATCAATTTGCCTATTATCAAACTTACCTCTGTAATTTCGTTTAAAGCAGTATCGCAACCTAACGAAAATTCAGTTCCTGGTACGTTGTTACTAATAGTTGCTGGAATCATAGCGATGGGCATTCGGAATTCTTCGTACTTATCCCTAGCTTTGTAGAAGGTAAGTGCCGTTTGATAACCCTTCCGAAGTAATTAACAGTTTTATAGTGCACAACTGATTTAAACCGAAAAAATATATGATACACAAACGGCGAAAACAAATATTACCTCAAATCCTCCTATAATTAGTAAAGCTTGAATTCCATATTCTTTAAGTTTCTGAGCAATTTGCGGTAACTGATCTTCTTTGGGTGGAGCTCGCTTGGTTCCTAAATAAGCACCACCTTGTGCTACCCAACCAGTGACTGAGGGCCAGTCCATTAATTTAAACTTTCCAGCCATCAGACCTAATATTCCGTCGCAAATACCGTAAACCTGAAAGTATAAACCATAAAATTTGTGTTGCCAACAAGGAAAACGAACATTAATTATAAAATATTATACCTTGTCACCGCGATAGATACAATTTCTAACGAACGAACGCACTGCCGCGTTCATACCGCAAGAAGGAGAACCGATATGCATTACTGCTAAAGTATAATGATCCTGGAACAAAATTCTGTGTTAAAGTCGCAACTGGAATCACGTTTATTCATGCAACGTGCATATAGAAAAAAAGAAGACATTCCATATTTTAATATCCAACACGAGGCATTAAACGATGCTTGTATTTATTTACATCCTAGCGAAACATTTGCTGCATAGAAAAAGAAGGTATATGATAATATTATGATTTATAAGGTTGGTTAACTCACTTGTCCACACAAAGTGAATTGCTAATTTAACAGAGAAATATGAAAATGTTAGAAAGGCTATACTATGAGGCATCAAAATAAAATGTTCAGCACAAATATGTACATTTATAATTTCTTTTTCAACAAATTTACCTTCGTTAATGTGGGGCCATTACTTTCCTGAAGCAGTATTAAATAATACATGTAATAGAAGTAAGATTCCACCTCGTTAAAATTTATACGGTAGAACAAAAAACCTTCAAACTACTTCCATATGTTATTTCTCAAAGTTTAATAGATCAGATTTTAGTTATGGTTTATTAAAAGATTCTACAGAAGGTTTTTAGTTCGTTCTTAATTTTAATATTATATGCAAAACAACATACTTTACTCGGATCATGATCCACAGGTGCTTTTAGACGCGTCAACATTTTGTATGTTTCCAGATTACGAGCAAAGCCTCTGAAAATATTTATAAAGTAAAGTATACTGGAATACGTAAACTATGATATATATTATCGAACAAAAAGTTTCGTGATCATAGCATACTTTCCACGAAGTTGCACAGCCAGCTCCCAATTTTTATCAGCCATAGCATGTGCTACTGCTTTGGTACGACGAACGCATTCCATAAGTGGTAATCTAACTGCTTGATTACCATCCAGCGTTACAACACACGCTTCGGTTTCAGGGGTTGCTTCCATCAAAGCCATCACCGCTTCAGCTCCCATCCGACAACCCTAAGTACCGCGATTGAATTTGATACTTAATGAATTAAATTAAATTAAATGTGATACTCAATGAATTAAAGAAGAAAGAGTGTATTAATAATATGTTTTAATAAAAACTAACCAGAACTCTGTCGAAAGCTGATGGATTGCCACCTCTTTGAACATGACCAAGAACAGTAATTCTAGTATCCTGTTGCAATTTATCTACGACAACCTTATGAACTTTTTCAGCAGTGATTGGTTCACCATTTCTATCTACTGCACCTTCTGCTACAATGATAATATTAAGTCGTTGGCCAGTGAGTCTCTCCTAAAAAAATTCATATTACAACTTATTACGACTGATCAAAAATAAAAAAAGCATCATTTATTAGATAAATCTAGTACAACAAATAATTGAAGATATACCGAATAAAATGAAAAATAAACATTAATACATTACCATATAAAAATCTGTAACACTTTTACTTAAACTTAAAAACTGTTTCTCATAACTAAACCAAACATTTAATTAGTCAACATTAACAAGGAATGAATAACGTATACATGAATTTTGTTAAATCGATGAAATTATATACTGTACTGGGAAAGAAATAAAAATTCTTAATGCAATAAATTTGTTATTAAACAGAAAAAAACTAAATTGCAATCAATGTAAAACAATTATTACTCCATCTATCTTTAACTGAATTGATAAAACGCAAATTTAAACGTGATCATAATCGTAACAAGCAACGAAATGTACAAGTGATTCGATGGAACCGTTTAAAAAATTATAAAAAAAATTATTTGCGAACCTGCAACAACTTTTTGCACAGCTTGCTTGGCCAATCCTGTTCAGGTGGCCATTCTGGGATGAACACAAAATCAGCTTCACAGCATATGGCTGTCACTAGAGCCAGGTAACTGTAATAGTATGTTATAAAAACTAGCTACAAATATCAGATAATGTAAGAATGTTAAGAACTATAATGAAGTTGAAAATCAATGGCTTTTACTTTTAAATTAACAAAATATAAATATAATTAAAACGACGTTATTCTTAAAAGAATGAAATTTTATAATTAGCATAATATCGTAGTTCACCTAGTTAAAAACTAGCATACTTTTATTTGTTTACAATAATTTAACTACTCTGGTAAAGGAGCAGACACAGTTTGAAAGTAAATAATGAAATTCAATGAAATACAACGATAGCCGATGAGCTTTATATCATACATGTTTTCTTTCTCGACAATAGTAAAGTAATTCACCAAGGACGTGCCTGTTGCACAGCTTTACAAAGCTTCTCGACCCAATCATCTGACGGCGGTGCTTCAGGTATAAAGCAATAACATGCTTCTGTAGACAAACTTGACGCTAACGTCAAATACCTGAAAGGCTTTGCTCTTTAATTAATCTTTACTAAATTAAATTGGCTTACTAAAAATTGTTTATGTTATTTATTCGATGGTGATCTTTATTATTATCAAGATGTAAGAATTTTTCATTGTTCATTTTTGTGTTTTATTGTAAAAAGAAACAGATGTAAGATTAGATAACACTTCTTTCTTAACACGAGCAACACAAGGAAGCAACCAAAGATATGTGTAAAAACAAATATGACTAAATTTGTTAAATTAAGTTAGAGGGGAGAAAACACTGTGACAGAAATTTAGACAGTTTGTAATCAACGTGCCTGCTCCAATTTTTTACACAGTTTATCAGGCCAGTCAACAGGTGGTGGTGATTCTGGGCAGAAAACATAGTCTGCTTCTGCAGCTAAAGCACCCACAATCGCCAGATACCTATTCAAAAGTTTATTGAACTTGTAAAGTGTAATTGAAACTATCTGTTTTCTAGCTTCACCATAAACATTATTTTAACAACTAATGCCATTTCGTCGCTAAAATGTCACATTTTTTGAAACATAATTTACTAAAGGTATCATTTTTCTTTTTCCACAAAATGTCAAAGGATTTATTAATAGGACATAACAATCAACTCACCCACAATGGCGACCCATAACTTCCATAATAAATGTTCTTTGATGGGAATAAGCAGTACTAACAATAGCGTCGATACTTTCAATGATACGATGTAACGCAGAATCCGTGCCGATAGTCATATCAGTTCCACAAAAATCGTTATCGATAGAACCTACCAAACCCACTATATGCAAGTGCAGGTATTTTTCTGCCTGTTCTGAAGTTATTTCACCTAAACAAAAACTAAGTATTAATAGATTGATATAACGCGAACAACAATTCTTTCTTACCTGCTTCTGCTAATTCTTTTAATAAATCGGACCATTCCTCTTTAAAAAGGTTTGCACCAGTAAGAGAACCATCACCACCAATTACTACTAAATTAGTTATACCGCGAACTACTAAATTTTTTGCAGCTTTCCTTCTGCCTGCACGTTCCCTAAATTCTGTGCATCGAGCAGAACCTATTACTGTACCACCCTAAAACATATAATTCTTACAGTTATGCCATATTAAAAAAAAAAATATAGAATAAAAATACATACCCTATGAATAATACACGACACAGATGACCAAGTAGCTTCCACAATGTTATTTCCACCATCTACCATTCCCTGATAACCTTCTTTAATGAAAAATACTTTACATCCTAAATAAATACCCATTCTAACAACTGCTCTGACAGCAGCATTCATTCCTATTAAACAAATTGCAATGAAAACATAGTATAAATTATAACATATCTATGTGTCATTTAAGAAAGACCAAATTTTTTACCTTGAGAATCACCTCCGCTAGTAAAGACAGCTATGCCTTTACCTTTATGACTACCAGGCTTTATAAACCTTTGCGCTGCTAAATCTTCTGCCATTTTTGAACTGCACTTCCAGGTACGATTCTATAATGTATGAATTATTATACATGCAAATTATTATTGCATTTTTAAATATAATTTAGTATAAATAAAAAACTTTATTATTCTGCTGTTTTTCACAATAGTAATATAACACTGTTTAATTTTTGCTATTATTATTTGTCGAGTATCTTTATAATTTTAGTATATCGTGCTCATGAATACTTCAAAATCATTGCATATCGACAAATTTTAATTTAGTTGCAATTACGATAGATATGTCAGGAAAAGAATATGCTTCAGACTCGTCGAATGGTTCGTCTATATCTATTTCCATGTCATAACAAAAACTGATGGGGACACCCTTTGCAGTAGGAACAAAGCTGTGCGAAAACATCTATTGCAAATTTTTATCAAATCATTAAAAGCTGAATATATGAAAATAGAAACATATTACAATTCATTAACGACTTAGTTTACCTGTGGAAAAACCACTGACAATCTCATGTTTTCGACATTAATTTTTTTTTTTCTTTCAACACTATATTCAATTTGACGTAAGATCGATTCACTTCTTCCAGACATTCTATCTGATTCTGTATTTTTTGTAGATACTTTACTTCTTGTAGATGTTTTACTTCGCATAGAAGTATTAGACAAATAATCATTTTTACCTAACCAAATGTTAATGTTATTTTCTAAGATCTTTATTAATCTTAAATTGTTTTTCAAGACAATTTTATAGTTAAAATATTACTTTCTGTTAGGCATAAGAGAGAAGAAGACTTCTCTTCTAGTTTGTCCTTGAATGTACAAGAACACTGTTTATTTTCGTGATTCATAGACATGTTTTCATAAAAATATACAATAAATTTAAACGAAGATAATTTATTAAAATTTACATGAAATATAACCTTAAACAATGAAATGTATATACAGTACTGACAATATAAATCTAGATTCTAACAATCCTCATTCATTGCATGAACATAGTAGATAATTTTACATTTGTACAGTTACTTTTTTCGCAATTAAAAATAGAATACATTGTTATTGTGATAGACGTATTGTTAGGTTGGAAATTAAATTATACGTGCATAACGTTATTTTAATAATAATTGCATAATGGTCATTCGCAATGATAAAATATGTAACATGAAATTGATGTAATAAATTATGTAAAATAAAGATTTCTTTTTACATTGTGTAATAAAATTATAATGTACCAAAGTATGTAAATAAAGTTAAATAATAGATAACACATTAGAAATACGCGCTCAAAGGACATTGCAACACGAGTTCTTCGATAGTCCTTCATATTTTAAAATAAAATAATACATGCACAAACAATCAATGGAATCTGGCACAGCCTCAAAAAATACTGTGCATCAAAACATCAGAACGACAGTAATAAGGTATAGATCATCGGAATTTGATTGTTGAAGTAACATGAACTTGCTGCTTAAAAATAACAATTCGAAGGATTTATATTAATTTGAAAAGTAAATGGATCAATTACATAAAAAGTGATTAGATTCATTAAAAGATTAATCAAGATTGATCATTTATTGAAATGTGTATACAAGGTAACGTCATCTTGTCAGTGATAATTTTTTGAGAGCTCGTTCTCGTTAAAAATTAATGGAAATATATGAAATCTTTATATCACTCACCGAACGAATATATATCCAAACGCAACGAAAAATGAAATAGAAACAATTCTCTTTCTAGATCAAATCCCACACTGAATTCGCGATTTCAGAAACAAACGTCAGACACCTCTCACACGTCTCGGGTCTGACTAAACCTGAAGGTGACCTTTACGTGTGCTTCTGCACGAAACCCCCACCAATAAAACGGTTAACTCTCTATACATCCCACTCTCGGTAAAATTAAATTTAGGAAACGTTCGTAGATGGTGTTAGTGATACACGCATCAACCAATAACGTTTCTTCCTCGGAAATTATAGAAATTTTTGAATCCTGCCTGGTACAATTTTTTTATATTTAAAACACATACAAGTTTACGTTAGACGGAAATAAGCTAACTGGAACATATAAATACGTCCTTCTTTTTGTTGCGAGCTTGAAAGCACTAAAAAAAGTCCGCTTCGATCGTCATTTTCACTACTCAAAGTTATCGACATACATATACGATTATTGATAGTTAACGTAACTTGATTCTATTAATAGTAAAATACGCTTTATCAAAAATTGTATATTTCTGCTACTCTTGTAATTTTATCGAGTCTATTTCATGCGTGTTTTCATTATATTCCTACAGTTTCAATAAATCGATTGAAATAACATTCCTTGGTCTGTTCGATACACGGAAATTAAATAGCAATTTAAAAATGGCAAAATAACGAGTCAGAGTATCATTTTTTTCCTACATATGATCCTCGAGAATGGACAAATAATGTATTGCTTTGCGACCGATTGCCACGTGCGTAGTTCTATTTTATCACACAGTTTCGAAACGTCGTAGACACGTTTCGTATTTAAATTAAATTATCGATTTTAGTTACCGAACAAAAAAGTTATTTGCTCGACTTTTTTCATACTAATCAACATGGTAGCATAAAAAGTAGGAACTACGCAAAATATCACTTATGCAAAATTTGTTTTTACTAGGTTCAGTTTGTTCTAATACGTACGCGCATAACGAAATAGCTAACGAATAGGAAACGAAGACTTCGAGTTCGATTTCCGATAAAAGTGTATGTACCTTCCCTATTTTTTATGTAACCAGTAACCTAATCACTGCTATTTTTTACTTTTTCTCGTTTTCATTGTCACTGTCCACATTTTGTAATCTATCGATTGAATCTAAAAAAACTAAATAAATCGACACGAAGAATATGAGGATTCATACGTTGGTATTTGTTAAAAGCCAAATAAATTATTGTATTTTTTTGTAAGCGAATATACAAACATACATGTTCTTGTATAGACTTTGGAAGTTAACAAGATGTAAAAAGACATCGTAAAACTACTTCAATGCTACATTCTTAATTCCATTTATCGATACAGAATTATCAAAAACGTTTTAATATTGTTTTTCAAAGTGTGATCAGACCATCGTGCACTATTATCCGTCTTATTCGAATCAAATGCCATTTGTTCGTTCGAGACAGCGTAAGGAAAAAGAACAAACGATTTCAGTGTACGTCCAATTAAACCTAATTACCTTACCTAAATTTATTCTAATTCTTTTCGATATTGCAATCTAATTGCAAGGAATTTTGACTGAACGATACCGAGGATAATAAATACGAAATTGGCGACGATAATAAGAAATAACGCCAATCATAACGAAGAATTCTGATAAAATACTGTAAAACGTTCGACACGTGCTCCGTAGCAGCCGAAACTAAATTTTCTCTAGTTTAAATTTAAACTATCGCAAGTTACAAGCGCTACTCAATTTCCATTACAAATAATTTGGAAGTAAGTGGTATTTTCGAGAATAATCGTTAATTTGTTGAAAAATCGTGTTTCAGTGTAACTTTATACGTATACTTCGAGAACGAATCTTCGATAAGAGTCACATAGGAACAACGAATACTGTCACGCGTTTAATCGTTCGTAACGACTTCCGTTACATTTTCGATCCTTCTAGTATAGAAATATATACGAGTAAAGTTCGTTTTAATCATCCAAGAAACTAATAAAGCATTCAACAATTCGAATAGTCATTTATTTTTCACCTTGTTTTTCATCCCCCGTATCGATACCAAAAACGGCTGTCTTCATAATCCTGACGATACTGCGAAGCAAGACACAATCGAGGTTATGTTTTCTGTTTCTTTTTTTTCGTAGACATTTTATCAGAATTTATTATTTCGTGTAAACGTTTATAATAATTATAATTTACAATTACGATGATCGATGATAAATACAAATAGAACAACATAAGTTGGGACGAGGAAATCAGGGAAAATCAGCGGATGAAATAGTTCGAGGTGGTCGGCAATGGTTAGAGCTTTCTTCTTGCGAGCGAGGAGAAAGGAGATACGGAGGGAAGAACGAAGAGACGGAATAAAGAGAAAGAAGGGAAAGATGTAACAAATTAAAAGGAGCATTTGTAACCGAAACGGAACGGAGGATTTTCATTATTTTGAATACACAAAAAGCGACACGAACATTTCGATAACCTCATTCTTACGTTAAACTCCGGCGATTAAATAATGAGAAAAAACTGGATAGGAATAGACCGGCAAAGGAAACGAGCGCAGGAAGGGACCAAAGTATATATTGCGAAATTGACGTTTCTTCGCGATTCTTCAAAGAAATCTTTGCTATTTTTTTTTCTTACCTACCGAGTAAACTCGTTATAATAATTATTGTAAGAGAACAGTATTTATTAAAAAATCATAGTGTTCAAAAACCGAAGAAACCGTAAGCCGATAAAGTTTCCTTGATCGAATCGGATGCACAAGCGAGCATCGATGCGAATACCGAAAGTCGAAATATTTAATAAAGGCAAAACGGTTAGGAACGATATTTAAATACGACTAAAGCATAGAAAAAAAAGTTTTATAAAAGGTTCGTTCGGACCTGCTGCGCGAGACCGAGATCAGTATTAAAATGCAAATGAGTAGTTCCGCAACGTTACGAGAAGTGGACGTTGCAGCTGTCGACTGCAACATTCATCCGAACCCGCTCAGCTGGTCCATCTTTCTAATTCGATAAAGCTCTTCCTGCACTCCTTTGTCATTTATCTCATCCTTACTTCTGTTTAATCATTATTTGTATCGATAACTACTTAGAGAAAGCGTGCGCTGTCTCGCTTCAACGAATAATAATATATCAATCGTCGATTTTGTTACGAACGTTACAAGCGTACACATGAAATCTATGTAACTTCGATTGTTATCAACTGCCGATTTACGATGTAACAAGCATCGCCAAAAAAAAAAAATAAAAAAAAAAAATAAAAAAAAGTTAGAGTCATCTTTACGGGCTACTACACCACCACCTTCTCAAAATCGACTCGTTCATTCACCTTTCCTTCGTTTTGCTCGATTTGACAAAAAAAGAAAGGACACATTGGAAAATACACATGTCAGAAAACATTTACTCATTTACCCATTTACGCGACACACATGACATGCATAACACACGCTCACGCATACACACACGCGCGCGCGCGCGCGTTGGTAGTAATTATCGATAATCGTTACTTCCTTCTATGCGATACACATTTACGTGTAATGGTAGTAGCGTGTAGAGGGTAAGGCGCACGCGTCTAATGCATACTCTTATGAATGTATTTATGATTATAACAATAAACGAAGAATGCGTTCATCTTCTTTTTCTTTTCGTTCTACCGGCTTTAGCTGGTAAAATAGGACCCAACAATGGCGAAACATGGACCGAACCAGAGGCGGATGGCGTTGATTATCTCGTGGGTTCTGAAATCGACTTTCGTTCGGCAAAAGAATGAGAGAGTGATAAGAAAATCAAAGCGAAACATACTTAATGTTTATTTATTATCCTTTTTTAATATCGTAAAAAAGCTAACTTGGTTTTAACATAGAAACAAACGGAATCCACTTTGTATTCGATCGGCGAAAACCGACAAACTGTTTACCTAAAATTTAAGTAAAAACGTAACACTGATCTTTCGTTAACCCTCAAATAATTAGAAATACTTGATTCGTACATATATATACACATGTTAATCCGCCCCTGGACCGAACGTCTCTATCCGTTGCGCGTTCAAACGCACCGATTTCAAGTTCCATTAATCGTTAACGATGTTTCTTTCGTCCATTTTTTGAAAATGGTAACGGTACGCGTTCCTCGTTTGGAAAATTTCGGTCGAGTCGGTCGAACCCCAGGTGTTACGCGCATTTTCTTTACCGATTTTTGTTTCTTGATAAATCCGTCACCCCGTGAAACCAGGGAAGAAAAAACAGAATCTAATCTCACCACAACGATAAAACGCGGTAGAACAATCTTCCTAACGGAGTTTTCAAAGCTCATCGTTCAAATTAAAAGAACATATAGTTCGCGTTCCTCCTGCGGATCTCAAATTCAACGTTAATTCTACAATGATATATATTCCGAAAAATGATTATATATAATCGATGGAATTGCGGGAAATAATGAGCGATGTCCAAACTATCGACAATTCCCACGAGATCGATTTTTATCTACGAAACTGAATACTCTCTTCCTTCTCTCTCCCTCTCTCTCTCTCTTTCTCTCTATATCTATATATATATATATACGTATATATGTGTGTATATACGTACATATATACACGTGTGTACGGATACGCGCGCGCGTTTGTGTCAAAAGAGATTTTAAACCGCGTACACAATTTCTCGTTTTCTTCTATTCCTTTTCTTTAGTCGCGACGAAAGTGAACGACATTTTATGGGTAAATATCTGTTGTATATATATATATATTACTGGGTATAATATATGTGTATATATATATAACATATATATATATATATATATATATATATATGAGGAGGTAGGGAAGGAGATAGAAAAAAAGAGAAATATAGAGAAGAGACAGGTGTACGAGAAAGGCGTAAAAGAGCAAAGAATAGGAATAGGGGACGTGAAGAAAGATTTTTTCCAAGAATGTCGAACGTAAAGATGAATCGTTTAAGAAATCAAAATTAGCGTTCACTTTGTTTTTTCTTTTTCTTTCAATATTCGCGCGTTTGTAACGGACGGTCAGCATACAATGAATCTTAAATATAATTTCAAAACTTTCAGTGTACTTCTTCACTCACCTCGATAACATGGCAAATTACCATAACGATAACGATAACCGTAACTGTAACGATAACGATACGAATTATTTACGGCTTTCTAAACGAGAGTGCGAAATATAAAACACGGACGATAATTTTTGTTAGATTAATTATATATATGTAATATATATATAATTAATATATATAAAAAAAAAGACAGGAAAAGAAAAAAGGATGACGCACCCAAGGATGTAGAAAATGTGTACATGCGCGCGCATGTGCATCAGGAGCGTTTGAAATATCTACTAACAAGTATATCAAATGTAAAATTAAGTCACCACCGATGTTGTTTTGGAACTTAATAACTTAATGTATTTTTTTTTTACTCTCCTTTCTCCTCCTGCGTTCTTCCCTTCGTATAATAATATCGTACTTGCTAGACAATGTGAAATTTAATTTAATGACAACTGGATATAATGTAGTTTAGATTCATGCGTGCTTTTTTCCTTTGTCTTCGTTTCTTCTCGAATCTCTGTTTCATTTAGCGATACTTTTAGATGGTAAATAGTGAGAGCAGATCTGGGAGTAACGAACAGCGTGTATCGTGGCGTTCGTCACATCCCCGTGTCTCGCCCCAACTATGATACGCAACGACGATCCCTTAGATTATGTTACATTACCGAATACTAATTCTTCGTGTGTGCCACGCGCTCTTTCTTTTTTTGTTCTCCCTACTTCTTTTTTCTCTTTAATATGCTTCTTCTCTTTATATGAACATCGTACAACGTTGTACGACGAGACAAGGGGTTCGTGAAACGACTACTACACTCTTCCTGTTCCTTCCTCTGTTCATCCACAATTTACCCTACTCCTTCCTGTTCTTTTTTCTTTCCTTTACTTTTGTTTTCACGCAGTCACGAGTCGATACGCTTTTCTCGGAGAAAACTTCGTGCCAGAACGCGAGCGATTCTCGCCAACTCGACCGATTCCTTTTACCGAGGCTCGTGATGGGATGGGGTGCGATAACGCGCGTTCCACGACAGATGGTGCTATAGCCTGATAAAAATTCTCTAAATGCGTTTTCGTTTGTCTCTCAACGTTTCGTTTCTCTCCGTTTCCCTCCTGCGGATATAAACGCGAGATTCGAATATCTTTGCGCTCGATAAGATTTACAACGCCGTGGGGCAATATTATGGCAGGCGGTGACTCTATTTAAACTCGCGAATCGATCCCTCCGAGAAAGGATACGGTCGAGAGCGAGAGCATCGAGTTCCTGAACCGGGCATAACAGCTGTGGCGGTGGCATCGGCAGCAATGTGCGGTCGCAATTTGAACAAAAAGGCGTCACAGTTTTCAAGGAGGAGAGATTAAGGAAAAAAGGACTCGGGAAGGAGGAGAGATGTTGCAATTGTGGAAGGAAGGTAAGAAGGAAGGTAGGAAGAAAGGCGAACAGGTAAAATAGGACAGGGTAAGGTTAAGTAGGTAGAGTAAGAGAAGAGAGGGGAAGGAAGAAGGAAACGAGGTACGCGAGGGACGAAAGGACAGGCGAATGGATAAATCGATCTCGGGTGGATGAATGGGTGAGCACTTCAAGGGACCGGGGGACGATAGAGAATAGGATGTTCTTATTAGGTTAGAAAGGGACTTAAGCTTAGGAAGGTTAGTTATCGCCGCCCTCCTGTGCTTCGTCCGCGTCACCCTGCGTGTCACTGGTCCAGAGCGTGAGGTTATCACGCAAAAGCTGCATGATTAACGTGGAATCTTTGTAGCTGTCCTCGTTAAGTGTGTCCAATTCTGCGATCGCATCATCGAACGCCTGAAACGTTTACAGAAAATTTCATGATACGCGTTCGCTACAAACACACTGTGCAACAATGCACACGCACGAGCAAATAACAAATACAACTCGATTTAGTTACAAAACGAAATTCTTTTCTTCGGAAGTTTATATCGTTTTGCTAACTCGAATTCGTTCGTGCAAAGAATTAACGCAATTTTGAAATTAGAAAAATAAAAACGTTAATATTAACGTTTTGACGGCCACGTGTTTATTCCTATGTACCTATTTGTTATTCGCAATTAGGATTTTCAGCTTATAAACAATTCCATAATAAATGTTAGGAATACGCGACAAAAGCCATCAAAGCGTTAAAAATGAAAACACGAGAGATGCGAAATGGTTATCGATAGATACAGTGGAGACACGATACATTCCTATTAAATTATGTATCTGGGTTAGTATACACACTTCAAACATTGCATTTACTATCAAGACATGTTCACGCCACACCGGTATCAATTATTAAGATGCAATATATCGCATAACGGTTAAGAGATATATGGTTATTGTTCTTGAAAAATTTTGCAAACCCAAGAGCAAACAATCATCCCCCCGCCCCACCCGTTATCAATTCCCTAACCTGTTTGGCAAGATGACAGGCTCTAGCCGGAGAATTAATAATTTCGTAATAAAAAACGGAGAAGTTGAGAGCAAGACCGAGCCTGATCGGATGAGTAGGTTGCATTTTTGATTTTGCTATGTCAAACGCCTCTTGGTACGCCTTCTGTGAATCCTCGACTACCGCTGTAACGCAAACCGGCGAATCTAGATTACAATTTTCATAAATTTTTATATAGAACGAGTAATTATTTCTTTGACGAGATAAAAAAGAGGGATAGTAGGGACAGATTAGGAGAAGAAAGGACACGACGATTCATTCTGTCACGATTATTGAGCATTTTTTCAAATTTGTTACGAGATGAACAGAATGGAAAAAAAAGAGAGAGAAAAAAAGTTTCGACGTTCGAGAGAAATTGTAATCTCTGCTGTAAGACGAAGCAGGAATAATCGTTCTTGCGATGTCTCCACTGCATCACCAGGAGTTCCTCTCTCGTATCCTCTCGCGATCTTAACCACGGAAAACGTCCGGCACACGGGCAACTCTTGCTTTTGTAAATTATACCTGTTTGGCCAGCTGGCAGGCCTTGTCTGGTGAGTTGAGAATCTCGTAATAAAAAACGGAGAAGTTGAGAGCAAGACCCAGCCTGATGGGATGCGTAGGTTGCATTTTTGACTTTGCTATGTCAAACGCCTCTTGGTACGCTTTCTGCGAATCCTCGACTACCGCTGTAAATTTAAAACCGGGAACAGTCCAGATTACAATTTCTACGGTATTTATGCGTGTAACCAGCAACGCGACCTTCGTTTGTCGCGATACGTATGGAATTTCGGAAGAATGAAATAAGGAAAAGGAAGAACGGAAGAAAGGAGGAAGAAAAGAACAAAATAACACGTCTTGCGTGACATTTTTGCTTCGATATAGTACGCTCGTCAAAACTTTCTTGTACCATGTACGCTACTAAATTCGAGTTTTTCTTTGCCTCCACTGCATCACCACCGTGTATCCCTTCGCATTCTCTCGTCACTGACGCGAACTATGGATAGATCCAAAGAAGTCTGGTGGTGGTTTTTGTAAATTATACCTGTTTGGCCAGCTGGCAGGCCTTGTCTGGCGAGTTGAGGATCTCGTAATAGAAAACAGAGAAGTTGAGGGCGAGACCTAGCCTGATCGGATGGGTAGGCTGCATCTTTGACTTGCTGATTTCGAACGCATCCTGGTATGCCTTCTGGCTGTCGTCTACCACGGCTGAATACGTACATACATGTATCACGTGCGAACGTTATCGACTTGGTTTCATTCACGTCTTCGATCGTAGATATTTAACCGTTTCAACAACCCCTAAGAGTCTTTCCCAGTATACGTACGCCGTGGACCAAGTGCATACTTTGAGACCACGCGATTGCGCGCTCGCGATACGTGCAGTATCTATCAATATGTTACCAAGAAAAATATTCAACATTTTTTATTATTAACAGGACGTTATGTACGATTATATGAATCCTTGATCCATGGCGCACAATTCTATAGAAACCTATATATCGCTTTGACTTCCATGGAAATTATTCGTAACATTAATTCTATTTTTAACGAACGTTATGTTTTCTGTTCGATTCGTAAAATGTTCGACAGATTCCTACGATCTAAGTACGAATAACGAGGGAATCAACGCGACATGTAGATAATAAACGTAAAAGGATCAACGAACACCGATGATTTGTCCTCTTTCTTAAATTTCGATCAAAATCACGATCCTATCTTTCGACGTGTTTCACTTTGAGCAACGCAGCACGATTCCAGAATACTGTTAAAATGTACGAGGAACGATATACGGCGAAACTTGCACAGAACGTATTAGTCAAGCTTCAGGTAAGTTGGAAACGTTTCTATTCTAAGAATCGGTGAAATACATTTTAAAACCTTAGAACGCGTTGATGCATTTGCCGAAACATCTGCCTCTGCAGCTGTGCTTCTTTCTTTAATAAGGTATAGAGAGAGAGAGAGTAACAACTCAGGGTGCAGGTATAAGAAAACCAAGAGTAACGTGTACCTTCCTATCCAATGAAAAGAATCGCCGCGTATCGACCTCGTACAATTCATAGACGTGCGCAGGTAAAATTTTCGTTGTCAACGGTGTTGCCTTCAAAATAATACCGTATACCTCGTGCTGAGAAGATGCACGTTTAACGTATACACTGTAAGAACGTCGATAGACGATCCAGTAGGAAAAAAAAACGCGATTAAGACTAAAACATGAGATCGTCGCAAGAACGCAATTGTTAGTAATGAAGAAAATTCAGAGGTAACATACCGTTCCTGGTTTCTCCGGTGGCGACTTCTGCGAGATACCTATAGTAGTCGCCCTTCATCTTGAGGTAGAATACTTTACTCTCGGCATTGCTAGCCTTGGGGATCAGGTACTTATCAAGGAGTCCCTGCAAACGTCAATTCCAGAATTAATTCTCGTGTCATCAATTTGCCTTTTAAATGTTCTCGTTTAATCTAACCATTAAAATTCTTAAAAATTAATGCTTGCGACCCTTTGTTCGGAAAATATGTTCCAACGAGGGTGTTTCAATGTGCGTTAACACAAGTAATAGGCTAAGCAGGTGCGTTATACTTCCTGCTCCTTTTTTCGTATAAAAGTAATCCACGTTACCTAGGAATCTTTACAAAATAGGGACAATGAACCTCGACTATCCGACCATCGTGATTTACAAAAATTACTTGTATTGCTGGATACGCGTAACGTCGTTTACAATGTATAACGCGATATGACGGAACAATCGACGTATAGTTCTCGTTCTCGAGGTGCAATAATAGGAACCAAGATCAAGTTGATCGAGACGAAAACGCGAATAATGCCTGTACCGAAAGAAAAGGCATCCGCTTGCTGAAACACTTTGTCACGCTAGCTGGATGACGAGAAGAAATCGTAAGACGAGCTACTTAGACGAGCCGTAATAGAGCCGCATGAAATTCAAACCTGCAAGCGATCCTCCAGCTTTCGAGACACGAAGAAGCGACGAAGGATCGTTCGAAGCACTGTAAGATAATCCGAACAAAACCGAAAAGCAAATATTTCTAAATATCACCTATATAACATCATGTTTAATAGAGCAATTTAGATACATTGTCAACAATTGTTACTCTCTCGTTAGTTACTTTGGAGAGGATCCAAATGGTAACTAACGCGTAAAATACCTCGAAGTAAGACGCATTTTCTCGACTAATCAGACATTTCTAGAGCCATTACCGCTTTGTCGAACTGCGTCACGTATGCAAATGCGATACGTAGCGTTCTACATCGAGTAGTTATCGATAAGGGTTATAATCGCGTGGTACATTGCATAGGTATAATCGCATCGGATGAACATTTTTTTCTATGAAAAAACAATTGAGCAAACACGAACAGGTGTTTCGCTCGATTCGAACGATCGAGCGAAAGAGAGGAAGAACACGTGACTGTATTGCAACTGTGGTAGGCAATCGCGGAGAAAAATACTGAGCCAGTCGAATTACCCCTGCTTACGTTTGCCTCGAAAAATATAACTTTACTTTTTCATTATTTAATCGAATTAAATTCGTAGCGTCGATTATCGATTGTCGTGGCAGCCAATGCTTCGAGTTAATACGAAACTAGAAAAGAAAATTGACGATAAGAAGTAACTAAAAGGTAAAATAAAGAAAATATATCTTACCAACACATCGTAACAGATTTCGCGCAACTCTTTCTCGACCTTTTCTCGGTACTCCTTGGCCATCTGCTGTTTACGCTCGGAGCCCTCGGTCTTTTGCTCGATAGAGGAAATTACTCGCCACGAGCTACGTCTCGCGCCAACAACATTCTTATAGGCTACCGACAGCAGGTTCCTTTCCTCGTTCGACAATTCGACTCCCGTCTCGGTAACTGCCTTCATCGAGGCTGCCATGTCGTCGTACCTTTCTGCCTGTTCGGCGAGCTTCGCGCGCTGTACCAATTCCTCCTTATCCACGGACATTGTGTCGGCTGAAAAAGAAAAGTAACGCTATACATTTTCTACTCGAGTTCTAAGATTAATCGGAGAGCGAACTGTTGTCTTTCGCTTCTCTCGCCCAATATTTTCTACAGTCGCTAAGCTTCGTTGCGTATAAATTGTGATCCACTTACGAAATAATTACGATTTTTAGTTTTGATCAGATCTATCGATGTCAGATTGTAATTACGTAAGTAAGATGTAAGTATCTCGAATTACCGATCTACCCATTGGTCGTCGATCGTTAAAAACGAGAAGAGCCGTGAAAAAGGGAAGAAACACGCGAAGCGCGGCACGATGCGACGCTAAGCGGATGAATACGTACAATATTTGAGGAGGCGCGTCGTCAAGTTTCTTTTATCGTCTATCATCGACGACGCGTTTAGAACCGAATGACACGAATAGACGCATCATCTACGGTTTACGACATTATAGAGTCATCGCTCCGGATCAATGACGAACCTGTCCCTGCCTATTTTCATTTTGATCGCCTTCGGTGAACGATAACAGAGGAATCTACCGATAATAACGATGGTCTTTCGCCTAAAGTTTAACGCGATTACTACGAAGACAACCATCTTTAATGTACTTCTGCAATCGTACGGCAACCGATGAGTCATTGCATCGGACTGCGCGTTACCACGTCAAAATGTAGGCGCGTATCTAAACATCTCGCCTGCTTTTAATGCTCCTTGTTCTTTCGCGGCACATCGAATATACTTACTACTCCGTGCAACATTTTCAAGTTCAATGTTCCTTTACTAATCCACGCGCAAATTTTACCCTAAATCGATGGTACTCGAGGATGAAACGCGAAATATACTAGAAACGACGTTACATTTCTACAAATTATATTTATTCTACTTTTGAACACGGCTGTTTTTCTCGTATCGATTCAACTTCTTTCTCGATGCAAAGACGTACGCATAAATAACGCGCAAGCTCGGTTCGATGATGTCTCGGACAAGCTCGTGAAGAGCGTCGAGACACCTCTGTATCAGGAAAAGCGTGCTTGCTATTTTACTCGTACAGTTCCAACGCGTGTATCCATCTTCAAATTTTCGGCTTTTCGTCGACATTTTTCCACGTAATCTTAACTAAGAAAGACCATCGATCGTAACGATTATAAGCGAAAATCGCATTATACGCCAGAGAGCGGAAAACAGTTACGACATTCTATGAAATGTTATTACGAACACGATTCGACGAAGTAATCGAGATTCGTACCCGTATCTTACTGTATCTATACTGTAAGACCGTTTTTTACGTTATCAGGCTCGTCGAACCAAGTTTGGTCACGATAGCGTTCCTCGACTTATTTCGGTTTGCATACATAGGAAATCGTGTCGTTACAACGCGTCATATATATCACGAAATAATGAAGACAAGACGATGCAAAATTTGACGATTGTTCCGCGTCGGTACATTCGATAGTCGATACGAATAAATAACGCGAGAACAGATGGACTAGCACGAAACGATAATTTTCAGGTGGAACGTTTAATCGCCAACTACCTCGATGTCGATCGGCAGTTTTGAAGCGCGTATAGCTACGGAAGGTGGAACACGATCGATATCGTGTGCAGTACGCGTGCTCGTTATTAATTCTTCCAACGAATTGTGTACAGTGGTGTTTAAATGGGTAACGCTCAACGGTATTTTACACGCGTACCTGCAAACTTCCGCGAGCTGTTTTGCACAGCTTTAAAATCGTTTCCAAAATGCTTGTCGTTTCGAACAGTCACTTTCTTTTCTGTAATTCGTTCTTTCTTACCGTTATTTTCGCGAGGAACATTTCAAAAGTTAACGCGTTCTTTAAAATGCACGTTAATCGTAAAGTACGAACGCGATATAACTAATCCACGATCGTTCGCTTTTAACACGATCGCGTTCGATAAAATTCCGTGTGATCATGGCCTAGATTTATCGAAGAGAGGCTCTCGATCGAAACTATCATCAAGGTAGGTGGCATAGGCGTCGTCGCGCCATCGCGCTGAAATCGTGACGGCGACCCAAACCTTACTCTCGATTCGCACGTAATTCCGTTATTTAACGTAGCTTTTCTGTTACGCGACGATTCGTAGTTCGTCGAGACGCACGAATGCACGTGACGATACAAGAAACGGAAGGTCAAGCAGCTAAATTCCTACTCAAAGAAACCCGGACAGAAATATTAAACCGGTACATGTATTCGGCGTCCTATATTTAATCGCGCGCGATCACCTGGCTTTAGGTTAGCCGAGGCTTGGCGACACTGTTGCCGGATCTACGCGAGAACCAACGAGAAACACCGCGTTGCCAGTAGAAATATTTCCGGCGCAGACTTTCCGAGCGGATCGCGAATGGAACGTGACGAAAGAACTCCCCAAGCCAACCAATTTGCTTTCCGCGTAGGCTCTTTCGAATCGTCCCTCGCGTACGCCTAACAAAAATACCTACAAATTCTGAACGAGATACATCCGCATTTTCACCACGTACTCCATTTCCGGAATGCATCATCGTCGTTCAAACACGTTCACGATTCGACTTTTCAAGAAACGTGTCATCTCTATACGACGAAAATACGTATTTTATCGAAGACTTCCATTTATCTCCGCCTGTATCGCGTTACATCGAGTTCCAGATAAAACAACGTTCCTTCGACGGTTGCGTATACCGTATACTATTTTCTGAAATACTATTTCGTGCCCCATCGTACTACATCGACACTCGATATCTAACGCGAACAAAATTTTCACAAATACCCACCTAGAAGCGAACGATACGAAAAAATGCAGAAACATTATTATCGGAGTCGCATACGCGCGTGATCCTCGTATTTTACGAGTACGGCGAAATACGTAATTTAGAGGAGCAAAGCAGAGACATTCGTGGAAAGTGAAGTACAAAACTCTAGATTGCCGGGTTAAAGATCGTGCTAGCCGAACGATTGAAAAGAAAAAAAATTACGTGCGTTTACGGTAACGATTTGAGGTTATGGTCGACGCATAGTCGCAGTCGCATCGAAGAGGGGGCCAAACGAAGCGCCACGGCGCTACTTTCACGAAGCGAGAGCGAAATTCCTTATCCACACGTACATGTACACGTACACGCGCTCTTTCTCTCTCCTATCCCTTCCTTTTTCTTCTCTTCTCATTCTCTCTTTAACCAACACGCCCCGTCGTCGAGGAGTTCTCGACCGTTCCGTTTCGTTTCGTGTCGCGATACGAACAAGAACGAACCGAGGACAAAGAAATCGACGACGGATTACCTCCGTTGCTTCCGGCGAAACGCGAATCGGCGTCGTTGCAGTCACTGTACCAATTCGGTTCTGCGTCGCAGTATCGTACCGCAGAGATCGATAGTAGCCGGTTGGTTCTCTTCGATTTTGACTAGTCGCACGAAATACGATGGAACGCACGAGTTTCTAGCATATTCTCAAAATGTCTCCGTATTCGAAAATCGAACAAAGCTACGAGAAACGATCGACCGAAAACGATCGCCGCGTATAGGCATGCATGAAAAGCGCAACTGAACGTAGAACAGAGCAAAAGAAAAGACAGTGGGAAACGAATAGAATAGCGACAGAGATACGAGACAACAGGCAGGCAGAAAGGAAAGACAGAAAAGAAAAGCGATACAGCGAATCCTGGCGATCTTACCTATAGTTAAAGTCTTTTGTACAATAAATACTTAAATAAATACACGATAGGCGTATTTCGTAGTTTCGCGCGAAATTGGGAGGGGGGCCGAAAACTGTGACTAGACTCTCGGTATTGCTGGTTTCTTTTTATCCAGGGGGTAAAGAGCGAGAGCGTATTACGCGGAGAAACTACGCCGGGTCTTTTTCCTCAGTCACACTCAGTTACGATACCACACATCCCTCAGTGACCACTCCCGCACAGCGACTGAGCCGGCAACGCTGTTCGTGGTGGGGACTCGGCGTGCTTCGTGCCGGGACTCGGCTTTGTTCGGGTATTTTCGGTTTTCCTCGATTTCCCTCGGTCTATCTCGTATCCGAACCGAAGTATTGATCGGCTCGCCCAGCATGGCCGGTTTGCCGAGGCTGGGTGGGGCAGTGGCGCACGGCCATCCTGTCCCGGGACGCCAGCCACCGACACGACGTGTTCCAATACGCTGGGTTAAATAGCGCTGCGCACTTATGCGCGCTTACCCGCCATTCGTCTTATTCCATGCGGCTAATTCCTGCGCTAACCACCGCTACGAGTACTACGCCTTTTCTCTTCTCTTCTCTCCTCTTCTCTCCTCTGCTCGTCGCGTCTCTTTTTTATATTTCTTTTTTCAATTTCTGTCGGGTCGGTCTCATCCGTTTCACCAGTGACTGAATGGTCCAAAAATTATCCCTCTCTAATAAATATCCGTTTTCTTGTCCTTGTTCTTACCTCGACAAATTTTTTGCAGCGACGTTACTGCGGTCGATGATCTTCTTTCGGTAATTAACATAGCCTTTTGTATAAAGCTTACAAACCAATCGATAAAATACTAATATATGTTCGCGTGCATGCGCCTCTCCGATATTCTGTCGTAGTCTCGTGGGTAATGTATCGAAAATAAATTAGAGCAGATTATAAAAAATATTAAGTGTAACGATAAGTTCTCGAAGTTGTCTTGAGCGTCGACAAAAAAGCGGACAACGGTGATCGAACGCGCAAAATCAACACCTGAACGTGACGCGTGAACACGTGCATCGACACGTGATATCCGTCTCGAGGCAGCAAATTTTTTGGAGATACATACACGATGCATGATCGACCGATACAATCTAAAACTATGCATCGATCATGCATATTTAATTAAGTAATCTTTGCGAACGTAACATGTGAGCATTGATAACATCGTACGAATATTTGAAATAATTAATATCTAAGGAGAAAACGATAAGTCCATAATTTGCCGATAACCATCATCCGAAAACATGCGTGAAAAATGATTAAGAAAGAATATGACAATAAAGCAAGTGCAACCTGGTAACAAGATACAGATGCATTTTTGTCGCAGTCATTGCACGCCCATGTTAAATAAGTTAACGGGGGAGATCGCGGAAGATCGCGGAATATCAAAGAGAAGTACGATAACGCGTCGAAGAAAGAAAAAAAGAAACGGATACATACGTAGGTAGAGAAAGAAGTAATTATGTGAGATACAATGGATGAATCGAGAAGACAAGCGCAGAAATAGGGACTGGCTGGTGAAGCTGAAATGAAATATTGATCCGCGGAGGCGCGCGCAACCCCTGCAGCCGACCCGCCCTTCTTACTTGGCTACCATTTTCCGCTACTCGCGTCGCGTCCCGTCGCGTCGCGTCGCGTCTCGTCTCGTCTCGTTGTCTCCTATCTTTCTCTCTCTTTCTTTCCGCAGCAATTTTCTCGAAATATTCCATCCTTCGAATAATTGCTCCCTTTTTATTCGACAGCCAGAACCGAGTCGAAAGGTCGTCGACGTTTTTCTTCAAATTTCTCGAAATTCCCTACTTTCTTTTTATTCCTCGATCCGCGAGTCCGATAACCAAGTATCATCTTGAATATTAGCGATACGGCACATTTTATATACATTTTTTGAATTACATGTATTTTACAAATCGCATAACAGCATACCGGTACATACATAATTCGACTCCGTTCGAATCGCAATCTCGTAATTAATTAATATAAAATAAAAAATGTTCCAGACTGTTGGTCGCGCGCCGCTCTATTAAAATTGAACAAATAAGAATTATCGGTCGAAGCAATTTTTGAAAAGTGCTCGACAAAAATAAATTATTGTTTACAGGGTCTGAATCGATTCGTCAAAAGAATGTTGGTTCGATAGTTTCTGCGTGAGTCTACACAATGGAAATCGTATTTATAACTTTACATTCGACTTTATCGTGACGATCATGAAATTTGAACAAGTAACAAGATAACTTTTCAAATAGAATTATAGGTTTTCTAACCGCATCGCGTGATCTCGACTGTAATTTCCCAACAGACACGTTACCAGCTCTGCTTGAAAAGGAATTACGCGAGAGTTTAGCGAAAACTTTGGTGAAAATTCGTCGAAATCCATAGTCGCGTAAGTAGGAACGCGAGGAGCCGATCTAGAGATATAGTTTCAATAACGTCGAAAAGTACTTTCGACCGAAAGTGTTGAGAGTTTTCTCGGTAACAGCTAGACGAAAACAAAGAAGTTGGCGAACGCGTCGATTCTCGTAGTTGGAAAATGTGTAATTTATCGAGAGAAAAATCCGAAGACGAATCGAGGAGGAAAGGCGCATCTTCGCGAGAGAAATCGGCCGTCTGTCGGTTCGAATGCTGTTCGCAAAGGTAGAGGAGGGTATAGGACGCGTCGCGTAATGGAAATCGATAAAGTTGGTTTTACGAACCAATTTCCGTGCTGGCAATACGTTATCTGCTTTGACGTTTTACCTCGGGAATAAGTTATCCGCGAAAGGAAACGAGCAAGGTAGGTAGATCGAAGACAATGGAGCAAAACAGATAATAAACGCGAAAATACCGAATCGACGTTCGTCATAATCGATTGGGCGCGAACGAAGAACGGTAACGCGGCGCGTTTCGTCGAGGATCGTTGACGTTCCAGTTTTCCCTGCGAGCGTGCACGTATTATACATAGAGGTGAATATAGAGGTGGACATGGACACGATGCGTTCAAAGGGAGGTAATTTTCGAGGCGAGTGACGTTCGTTGCGCGAACGCCTTTAACGCTCCGCTCGGAAACGAGCACGTACGCTAGGTTAGTAACGCGTAGATCAATATTAGCTCGCGGTTCGTGCGTGACAGCCTTTATTTTCGATTTCGTCTCGCAAACAGGTTATCGATTATTAGCTCCGTCGGAAAGTCCTGTCCGCGAATACGTAACGTTTACGCGTAAATGCCGAATACCGATCGATCGACGATTCTCGAATATCTTTCGTTCGCGATCGAAAAACCTCGATGACCGTAACGCGAAGAAAACTTGCCGATAAACTCGATACAGATGCGAGCGTACGTGTTCGATAAAGTTAACGCGTGCTTCGAAAAATAATATCGATCTCGGTATCGGCGAGCGAAACGAGAATAATCGTGAAACGTTATCGAAAAGCAAACTTTAAGTGGAACGCGCGTGAAAAGTTTGCCAGCGGTCGGTTTGACCTATTTCACGGAGAAAACAACAAACGAATAAACGAGTTTCGGCAAGATATCGATAGACAGAGGAATATTCGATGAAAAAGCGAGCGACTTTTCAATCGGGGGAAAAAAGAGTCGTTCGATCGTCGGTGAACCATGAACGAGTCCCTTGTTTCGCGAAACCGAACTCGCGCTCGAATGCGTCGTTTCGAGAACGGACGGTTGCTGGATCGTCGAGATACCTACGCGAGAATGCACCGAATGAAAAAAGAAATAAACGAGAGACTATCGAAAGCCGAGGAAGCGTAACTGTTACGACACTGACCTTGCGTTCGTGGGCCAGTTCGTAATCCGTGGAGAATTCGCTTTTCCATCGAGCAGCGCACCGCTTCGAACCGTTGCCTGGTCGACGGACTTTTCGCCGTATTTCGCTATTGATTTTCGATGGCGAATGCGCGCCATTTTTACTCTCAAGGTTGACGAGATCGAAACGACGAGTCTACTGGTCACGGAGACCTCGATGAATCGCGAAACAGAATCGATCGAACGAGCAACGGCCATCAAAAATAGGAGACACGTGGAAAAGAGTCAGCGGCGACGATGCGTCATAGAGGATCGGGGAATATTCACGAAATACGAAGCGGAAGCGTTTACGACAAAGCGTGCTGACGCGATCCACAGGTGGCAGTTTAGAGATATCGCGTGGGCGTGTTGCTGTTCCCTTTCTCTCGTGGCCCTTGTCCTCGACGAGGCTCTCTCTTCTCGAGTCGCGTCGACCAAAAAAGCCCACTTACGCGAATAAATTCGACCCACGAACGTTCGTTATTTCTTTTCGCGAAACGAAAAGAAAAATTCCTTCCTCCTGCCGTGGTTTAACTGTACACCACGAGTATTTGGCAGTAGCTACCGTTTGTAGCTAACAACTAACTTTAGAGAACCGACGGAAACAGATTTCGAAATTATCCTCGTCATCCATGTATAGGATAGTCGCGAATCGCGAGTCACGAGACTGGTTCGTTGCTTCTTTAAATATCGGAGATGCAACATAATTGTTTACGCGAAAGTTGTTGTTGGCACCACGATAATATTCGATAAAACTATACGAATAAAAAAGTTTCGTTAAAAAAAAAGCTTTTCCTTTTGTACCTGCAGCTTCCAAACGATTAACTCCGCTTTCTACCGAAGTAAAAAGAAAAGAAATTTTGGAAATAATGATTTCTGACGCCCGCCCAGTTTCATCTCTTTGGCTCGCGAGAAACTTGAAGCATAGAACGCGTCGTCGCTCGTTTCACGGGTTTCAGGGGAAGTAATTAAACGGCTTTTTTCCGTGCTATCGTAAACGGTGCAGAGGCGCGTTGACTCGTAAAAGAAACGCGAAAGAGGAAAATTCGTAGTCCAGCGAGAAGATGCCAGCGGTCCGTCGCAAATTAGCTTGCGCAATCGATGCGGCAAGTGCACGCGCCTTTGCCGCTGCCATTCACTCGTCTTCTAATACACGCTTCTACCGTTACGCTGCTCTCAACGTCTTCATTCACCTACGACGAAATCCTACGCCAGCTCGGATTCACCGACAGACACAGCGGTGGGGAAAAATGTTGGCCGTGACGATCCGGTGTCGTTCCCCTCGCTACGCCCCACGCTCTTCTCGACGATTCCTCGCCGCACGATTCTTATCGAGTCGCGGATCGATCCTTTACCGACGAGACGCGTCGCCACGCGTCGACGACGATACATCGTGGAAAATGTCGTTCGACGAGAAACGAGAAACAAGAAAGGAGGCCCGAAGAAGAGAGCGTGTGGCGTA